CTATTTCTTCTGATTCTTTATTTACTTAGAATTGGTAACAGTTTGCATAAAATCGTCATTTTATATGATGACTTGCATGAAGGGTGTTCAAAGTAATTTAGAAAATAAATGAAAAAGTAATATGGCCTGGGAAAATCCATTTGGACGCTCCATTCGGTTGATCTATTAGGCTTTATCTTCCCAGCAAGGGTCCTGCACAGCCGCGTTCTTGGGTTGTCACTGATGTGTCTGCAGCCGGCACATTTTCTGATGAGGATGGGCCTGCCTTTGGGTGAATCACGAGGCAGTCATGTGGCCTTGCCTATTTTTTTCCAGGAAAGCATGCCGTATTATCTTCAACGCCTCCCAGCTTCTCTGTGACACCCACAGCGATCGCCGTGGTGAGGAGACACGTTTTCTCTCTATCCCCTCTTGTTGGCGCCTGGCCTGTACCTCAGGAGAGCTGGAAGCCTTTGCGCGCTCGTTCTGGCCGTGCCATGTTGGGGAGCAGTGAGACGCAGCAAAGCCAGTGCCCATATGGTGCTCACAGTGCTGAGAGTGGCTGAGGGAGTCCCTTGCTCCTGTCACCTGTAACCTTGGACACCCCCGAGGAGGAGCAAGCCCGCGGCCTGAGTTACCTGGGGCTGCTGCAAAGTGGATCCCACAAGGGGGCCTCTTGAAAGGATGGGGACTCAAAGCCCAAATCATCGTTCCTAGAGGAGGTCTCTCCTCGTTGGTCCCCGGCTGTCCTTGTCCAGGGACCCCCACGTGGCGTGTGCCCTGTGTGTGGTCTCTGTCCCTCTGGCTGTTTCTTTGAGACACACCCAGAAGGGCTCAGGTCCAGGGCCCTCTCTGCTCTGCTGTGGGAACGTAACAAAGACACCTACCTCCGGTTCCGGAGAGGGTCCCATCTGCAGGGCAGGGGTGAGGACGCACCGTTTTAGGGGACGTGAGTCACCCTGTAACAAGTACTCAGGAGCAAGCAACCCCTGAGGTGGTTTCCGGGGGGGAGCAGGCTGGGACCCTCAGCTTGTCCCTGTGACCCTGGAGATAGGTCAGGCTGTGTGGGGAACATTGCCGTAGGGAACAGGACTGAGGTGGGAGGACGTGTTGTACTGGAGAGCTGTACGTAATGGTGACTCCGCACTCTGCAGCCGTGCACTGGGGCTGGAACCCACCTCCGCCTCATCCGTGTGCCAGCCTCTGTGTGCATGGCTCCTCCCGGGTCTACCAGACACAGACCGGGGGAGGTGGTCATGACATGGCCATGTATGTGAAGTACATACTGAGCAGTAGCTGCCGTGATTGTCCCAAGACACCTTAGGTCCAGAGCAGGGCATTGCCGGCTTCTGTAAGATGTCGCAGCTTTGGTTCTCGCCACATGCACGTCCCCGACTCCTTTCAGATGCCCACAGGGGCCTACCACCCCATCATAACCAACCTGACAGAGGAGAGGAAAAACTTCCAGAGCGCGGGGGCTGTGCTCAGTTACCTTCACGACGTGTCCCTCAGCTTGCCTGGCGAATCCCTCTCACAGGAAACCGCCC